CCCCAAAACCCCAAAACCCCAAAACCCCTTGATACTAATTTAGACTTAATTTTAAAAACTTAAATTAATATAGTCAAAATGGAGGTATTCAGTCAATAATATAATTTATAAATGGAGAATCTACTCTAAGCTTAGACAGTTTTTATCCCTAAATTTACTAAGAGCGATTATTTGCAATATATGAATTCTGAATAGAATTTAAGTTCAGGCAATTAAAGTAGCAACACAAATAATCAAAATATTCTTCCAGAAAACACATTAAATCTGACAGGGGAAAAGGGCTATCGCACTGCTTTATGTAGTCATGGATTTAATGATGGGTGTTATTATTTTGAAGTGGAAATGCTTTCAGCTTAGACTCCTTTACCGTTTCTTAATGTTTAACCTGCACTAAGAGTTGGATTTGCATGTTATGAAGACTAAGACCTTGAACTGCCCTTAGGCTCTCATGCGAGGAGTTATTCCTTTGCAAGTACTGGCAAGATTATTTGCAATTCTCTAAGTTCATCAAAGAAAACCAACTAACCATATGGTAAAATTACTCATAAATAAGCTTTTAGCTCAAGGGGATATTATTGGCGCATTAATTTTTCTAAAGCCTCCAAAGCCTAAGTTCTTATAACAAAATCCTAAGTAATTGATTACTTTTGACTGATTATTAAAATAGTGAAGAGGGACTAGAGATAAGTCATGGAAGCTATATAGAATTCTTTATTAATGGAGCTAAACAATGCTAAAGATTTATAGATATATACGAAGGTAAAATTAGCAGTTCTAATGCTTTTAGGCACATACTATGCTGGGGTTAGCCTTTATATGCAAGCATAATGCAGAATTAATTTTGGAGAAAATCCATTCAAATACCCCCCTTAACAAGTTCAATCATTATAAGCTCTAGAAAGATGGTCTCCATATAATTTGGTCCTCAAAAATCCAAGGGGGGTTTAGATACCTAGGCCAAAATAATGAATGTGCTAATTAATTTTTCAAGACATTTAGTATCATAAACTTGATTTCATAAATCTCAAGAATGATAAATGCTTTGCCAATGGGGTTTTGGGGTTTTGGGGAGATCGGAAGAGCG